GGCTGCGCATCAATTCACGGGGGGTCAGATGCTGCAAGTCACCGCGGCAGAATGAGGAGGGTGGGTGATTTTAGAGGGGCCGGGGGGGGATCCCCGCAGTGCCGGGGACAGGGTTGGGCAGGTCTCGTCTGGAAGCTGCCACCTCCCTCCGTCAATTAGGGCCGCGTGGCGAGCAGGTAATTAGATCTGCTCGGCTGCAACCGGCTGGCACTTGGGCCCTATCAATTAGCCTTGCTCTGGGTGAGGCACAGAGGGACGAGGGGGCTGATAATGAAATGCGGTCGTGCCAGGCGTCGCCGGAGGGTGGGGGCGATGGGTGCACCCGCTGCTTGGGTGCGAGTCTCTCGCTCGGGCTGAAATCGCGGGGTTCGGGCGCGGGATCCTGGCAGGTTGGGTTTAGCCAGCCTTGGGTTTCCAGGTAGGTGCCCGCAGGGTGGTGAGGGGACTCTGGGGCTCCGGAGGGGATGGAGGGGAGAGCCCCCTTCCCAGCAGCACCCAAAACATTGGCCGCTTGCGCGGTGACGCATCCACCTCCTCCATAATTGATTTTAAAGAGGAAAAGGCTGAGTGCTGACAAAGCCAGGCCCTCGCCCTGCGAAGCTGTGTGATTCACAAGTCACTGACAGCATAGCCTTGTCCTGCGGAGTATTTCTCTGAGCTCGGGAAATGCCTCCTTCACCTGCTCCAAATCAACTAAAATCATCACAATTATAATCAGTGTCCCTGCCCATGGCAGGGGGCTTGGAACTAGATGATCTATAAGGTCCCTTCCAACCCAAACCATTCTATGATTTGTTCTATTATAATAATTATCATCACCGTCATCATCATCATCATCTGCAGGACCCAAAACACCTTTTGCACCACAGAGGCTCCCAGGGCACAGGCATATGCTGAGCCCCGGCCCTATGGGACACGGGGCAAAGCAGGGCTTCCCGTAGGTCCCAAATCCAGGCAAATTTTGGGGAAGCGGAGCAACGCGCAGGAGGGGTGCTGGTGGGTCACGGCTAACCTCTCCCTCTGCTTCTTCCAGGTCCAACGCCTCCGTCACGGAACGTAAGTAACCCCCATGGCACGGGGACAGCGGTGGGGATGCCAAGCCCACGTTAGACTAGTTGGTACCCGGCAAGCAGCCGGGGTGCGTTTCTGGGGCTCAGACTGCCAGCGTTTCAGAATTCAAAGGCTCCCCTTTGGCATTTCCTGGTGGAAACCCAGGTTTGCTTCTGCGTTTTGAGGCAGAAGCTGTATTTTCTGCTGGGAAGGTGGAGATCAGGCCTTCTCTGCCCTAGTGAGGTCCCATCTGGAGTACTGTGTCCAGTGCTGGGCTCCCCAGTTCAAGAAAGATGAGGAGCTACTGGAGAGAGTCCAGTGGAGGGCTACAAGGATAGTGAGGGGACTGGAACAGCTCTCCTATGAGGAGAGGCTGAGGGAGCTGGGCTTGTTCAGCCTGGAGAAGAGAAGGCTGAGAAGGGGACCTAATAAATGCTTATAAATATCTGCAGGGTGGGTGTCAGGAGCACGGGGCCAGACTCTTTCCAGTGGTGCCCAGTGACAGGACAAGGGGCCACGGGCACAACCTGAAGCAGAGGAAGTTCCAGCTGAAGATGAGGAAGAACTTCTTCCCTCTGAGGGTGACGGAGCCCTGGCACAGGCTGCCCAGGGAGGTTGCAGAGTCTCCTTCTCTGGAGATCTTCAAGACCCGCCTGGACACAGTCCTGTGCAGCCTGCTCTGGGTGACCCTGCTTCGGCAGGGAGTTGGACTGGGTGACCCACAGAGGTCCCTTCCAACCCCTGCCATTCTGGGATTCTGTGATTCTGGTTCAGCGAGGGGGGAGGCTCTTCAGGTGGACCACAGGGTGTTTGCCAAGGACCTGGCTGGGGAGGGAGGAACCAGGATGCGGTATTTCGGGGATGCTACCCCACCTGAGACGTGAGGCTGAAGCCGTGGTGGGCGAGGTTCACGTCCCAGGGTGACACGTGTCCCCGCGGCCCTGCCTTTCAGAGTTTGATGGAGAATCGGTCGGATGACCGCGGGAACTGTTGTTATCACCGGGGGAATCCTAGCGACGGTGATCCTCCTGTGCATCATTGCCGTCCTCTGCTACTGTAGGCTACAGGTGAGCGCCGCAGCCGTCCCCTGTCTTGCCACGAACCCCAGCGGGTCTCACTGGGGGTCTTCTTGCCCGTGAAGCGCTGGGAGTTGAAACCCTGCTTTCCCCCAGGTGCTGCAGTTAAGTCCTTTCCTCCTCCCGGCACAGGAGGATTGTCCTAAGGCTTCTGGGGCTCTGCAGCACTTGCTGGTTTAGGTGTTGGCTTGGCTGGGTTTGCAATACCAAATGGAGATTATTTTATTTTATTTTTTCCCCGCCCTGTAAATTAAACAAGGAGGCTTTCAACCATGGCTGGCTACAACCTCCTGCTCTTTAAAAGTTAACGTGAAGTCTGCGCCACACAGCAGTGCCCGTGTGACGAACAGCCCAGCGGTTCCTTGGAGGGGTTTCCAGCTGGCGTGGTGGAACACCTCCCCGCTGCAAACCTCGCTGGCAGGGGAGAGGACAAGCTCCCCAGCAGCTGCCTCCCGCAGCACGCTCGGGCCCTGGCCAGGCTTTGTCCGGCTTCTGCTGCTTTGCTGGACCCAGGGGTTGATGGAGCCAAGCGGCGAGAGGCCAGCGGGGGGTTTCTGGGGTGGAGGGACATGGCAGGGCTGGCTGTGACCCCTTCCCTTCCCCCCCAGTACTATTGCTGCAAAAAAGATGACTCCGATGAGGAAGAGGAGGAGGAGGAGGAAGAGGAAGAGCCCGACCTTCCCACGTGCTCGCACCTCAGCGCATGCAACGCCTACAACTCGCGTGCGGCGGACGGCCAGGGCAGCCCCGCTCCCTCCCCCAGCGAGCTCAACCACCACGGGGCTCACAGCTACTGCCCAACCTGCTCCCCGTACGGATCCCCCTTTTACATCCGGACTGCCGAGATGGTGCGCAATGGGGGCGAGAGGGTCGCCTACGGCCCCACGTGCTGCAAGGAGATGGGGCCGCCCATCGGCATGGCCGCCCTGCAGAGCTACCCGGTGAGCCGGCACAGCCTCCTCCGCGAGAGCTGCCCCAACCCACGGGCCCTCAGCACGGAGGTGTAGCCACCATCGCCACAATGGAGGTGTAGTCACCATCACCATGATGGAGGTGTAGTCACCATCGCCACGATGGAGGTGTAGTCGCCATCGCCACGATGGAGGTGTAGTCGCCATCGCCACGATGGAGGTGTAGTCACCATCACCATGATGGAGGTGTAGTCGCCATCGCCTAGCCGTCGCCATGATGGAGGTGTAGCCGCCATCGCCATGATGGAGCTGTAGCCGCCATCACCACGACAGAGGTGTAGTCGCCATCGCCACGATGGAGGTGTAGTCACCATCACCATGATGGAGGTGTAGTCGCCATCGCCTAAATGGAGGTGTAGTCACCATTGCCACGATGGTAATGGAGGTGTAGCCACCATCACCACGATGGAGGTGTAGTCACCATCGCCACGAGCACTGGGGAAGGGGCTTTTTGCTTGTCTTTGGGGGAGGGGGTTTCATGCGGAGAGGACCCTGTAAGCCCAGCCTGAGACCAGCACAGTCC